AAACCGGCAGGGGCAGCATTTTATTTTTCTCATGGTTGTTAAATTTCATGTTATTTTATTTTTGAAAACCGGAAGCGGGGGCAACCGGTAGGGGCAGCATTTTTATTTTTTTATCATTTTTAAAATATTTCTAAATTGTATTTTGAAAATCGGAAGTGGGGGTGGCTTAATAAGTAGGGAGAGGTGTGACCTGTCACACCAACTGTCACTTTTTTGACGAGACTGGTATGTGTATAACTACTAGTAAGGTTGAGCGATTGAGAGAAAGGGAGAGAGAGAGAGATTGAGCGAGTTAGAGAGCATGTGCAGTGGTCTGCTTGCGCACAGAGCAGGAGTTTGTGAGAGAGCCGGCTTGAGAGTCAATTTCTCTTCAAAATATAATTGATTGCCAGCCTCCCTTGTCCCTGGCTGGCTTGCTAGCTCGTTGGTAACTGATGTCTTCTAATGTGCCTGCATCTGGCACTGAGTTGCCATTTTCCTTTCAAGTGTATAAGTGTGAACCACTTCCTGATATCCATTGTTGCAGATAAATATAAATGATAATAGCCAAACTAACCTAGCAAGCGTAAACTGACAGGCTGCTGTGCCGCATCTCACTCAAAAACCCACACGACTCAACCCAGCGAAAAACCAGTCTCGCGCGCAGCCTTTCATTCAGAATTTCATTCAGAATTTAATTCTGAATTTCATAGCATAATAAAAAAAATGATATTAAACTAATCTTTCAACATAGTTTAAAACAAAAATAAATATTAGGACAAAGCCCTACAAATAACTTAGCCGGAAGTGGGCGGGGCTTAATAAGTAGGGAGAGGTGTGACCTGTCACACCACCTGTCACTTTTTTGACAAGACTGGTATGTGTATAACTACTCTTACTCACCTCTCCACCCTGTGTGTGCTCAAGTTTGCCTGCATGCTTGCCCAAGTTGGCACAGCGTTACAAATGTGCCACAAAACCAACCAATGGATGTAGCCTATAATAAGACCGTCAACAGCCTTATGGCAACCTAACCCCCCCCCCCCCCCCCCCCCTTGACAAATCTCGAGATTTCCCGGGAAATGTGAATTTCGGGGTGGGCCCGCCCTGGTAAATCAAATGCCCGCCCAGAGACGTATGTCTGCCGCCGGGTCTGAGTACAGTACAGGTCAAAACATACAATTGTTAAGGGGATGCAGACCAGAGAAAGACTTTCGTCTTGTTTACATCAGGGTCCCCCATTTCCAATTCATCATGTCATTTAAGACATATAAGACATATTTGACATACAGATGGCTTATTTACAATTTACATACAGGTGTTTTTCTTACATACAGATTGCTTGTTTACAATTTTCATTTTAGATTTCGTTCTAATACATCCTAACCGGACATTTAAAACATACCAAGTCTACAGATATACAGTTAGTAACAGAGTCTAAAATGCGAGTATATACATAGATGGGGGGGGAAGCTGTCCATTGAACGACAGGTTGAGATTTGTACCATTACCGGGGCCAGTTTTGCAATGCTCTCCCCCGAAGGTGCTCTTTAAGAGAGGTTTTGAAGGTAAGTATAGTTTTACTTTCCTTTACAGTTGTGGGAAGAGCGTTCCACCTTGATGTGGCATAATTGCGAAACGTGTATTCTCCCTTTTTTGTGCCAAATCTGGGTTTCACATGATTTGTGGAGCTCCCTCTGGTGTTATGATCATGGTATTCCTTGACCTTTGGGAAGAATTTTGACATGTACATGGGTACCATAGAGGTGTAGTGGATCTTGTAGACCAGGCCCATTGCAAGTAGCTGTACTCTGTCGTCTACTCTAAGCCATCCTAGGTTGTCAAAGTGGGCAGAGGTGAGGTGGGTTCTAGATGAAAGGTCAAGCAGTAGTCTGACTAGTTTATTTTGCGATGTTTGAAGTTTTATTTTTAGCGCCTTGGAGGTGCTATGGTACCATGACGTGCAAGCATAGTCATAGTACCCTTGAATGAGTGCTCCTGCCAGAGTTTTCAGGGTGTTTTTGTTTACCAGAGAGGAGATCCGGTATAGGAATCTAGTTCTTTGATTGACTTTTTTTATTACATTGGATGCCATTTTGTCACAGGAGAGGTTTGCCTCAAGAATAGATCCTAGGTATGTAATTTCCTTCTTACTTGTGACAATAATGTCGCCCACTGCAACTGAGAAGTCGTCGGATTTGCTGAGATTATGTTTCGAACCGAAGAGAATGGACTCTGTTTTACCCAGGTGTAATGATAATTTATTATCGGCGAGCCAGGTGCAGATTCTGCCGAGCTCGGAGCTGAGGGTTTTTTCAACCTGCAATCTGCTCCTGTCAGAGACCAGCAGGGCTGAGTTGTCCGCGAACAGGAACAAGTTGCAGTCACATGCTGATGACATGTCATTTACATAAATTAGGAACAGTAACGGACCTAATATGCTTCCTTGTGGAACACCACAGCTCACTGGGAGGGGGGGGGACAGAGTACCATTTACCTCCACCATCTGTTCTCTCCCCTCCAGGTAGGATTGCATCCAGCTCACCAATAGTTTATCAAAACCAATTGCTTTTAGCTTGTCAATCAGAATGGGGTGATTGACAGTGTCGAAAGCCTTTTGTAGGTCCAGCATCACCATGCCGCAGTACTTGCCCTCGTCCACCTCTTGTTTGATGTGGTCGCTCAAATAAAGAAGGCATGTGTCAGTGGAGTGGGATGTTCTAAAGCCAGATTGAAATTCATAGATTAGTTTATTTTCCGCGAGGTACTTTTTGACCTGTTCATATACTATTTTTTCCATGACTTTCGAGATGGAGGTAAGTATAGAAACAGGGCGGTAGTTGCCTGGGTCCAATTTGCTGCCCTTTTTGTGCAGGGGGGTTACTCTTGCAATTTTGAAGTCTTTGGGTACTTTTCCCTGTTTTATGGAGAGGTTAATTATGTGAGCTATGACTGGTGAGATGGCAGTTGCTGAGTCTTTACTAACCGGTATCAGTATGTTGTTACTTCGGCATCATTTTGAAACGTGTATTATAATTAAATCACGGTCAAATATGTTCATCTTGTTGTAGTTGTAGCCCCCTTGCCAGCGATTCTCTCTCTAGTTTAGCATACTCAGCCCGACTCAGCCTGGTTGTTCTTGGCCCTAGAACCACAATTTAGTCGGGCCAGGAAAAAGTAGCCCCGGGCCAAAACTAGGCCAAGTGGAAACGCAACCAAAAACGGGCCCCGCACGGCTCGGCACGCTTAAAGCGAGCTACCCGCTGCAGTGGAAACGCGCCATTAGTGCCCCTATGGAACTAAGTACAGATCGCGTTCACACAGGATTAAGTTCCCTGAGGGAAGATTACGCAAATGAGCCACTGACGTCACTTCGTCTTCTTCTGCTTTGGGTTTACTGGCAGGCCGCAAACCACTTCACGGCGTATACTGCCACCAGAAGTCCCCGGCCGGAAGTCCCCGGAGTTGGGGACTGGCTTCAGTAGAAGCTGCTGGGACTCCCAGCAGCTTCTACTAAAGCCTTCCGAGTAAATCGCCAGAACGCCGACACCTCCTCATCACTTCACCGCTCCCATATTTTTTTTGTGTAGCCATAAGTTATTCTCTCTCCGTTGGTGCGCGGGGCTAATGCTAATGCTAATAATGCTAATGCCAGCAAATACAATGGCGGCTTCACAAAACTTTTCAGAGTTTTAGGGGGCGTGGTTTGCAATTCGCCCAGCCAATAGAAATTGGTACTTTTTTCTCCCCAGGATAGTACCACCTCTCTAGCAGGCACTAAAAATGGGGGTAAAAGTTCCCGGAACTAAGTACTCTTTTGGTGTGAACGCAAAATAAGGGGTAGCCTATTAACGGAACTAAACGGGAAAAGTACGGGGAAAAGTACTCGGGTGTGAACGCTCCTACGCTGATACCATTAGGTTGCATGCAACATTTTAATTGTATTTTAATGTATTTAAAATGTAATGTATGTATGTAATGTATTTTAACATTTTAATTGTAACATTGTAATTAGATGAAATCTGAATTTCTGTCCAGAGATGAGTGCATTTTCATTATGGGATATCCACTTTGGCAATGTCTGATGAGGGCAAGTAGTCAAAAATAGAAGAAATTATTTCTATTTTTAGATGTTCATTCAATTAGATTTCTCGCACTTTGCTGCAATATGAAGGAAATCAGACTAATCTGGTGGAAAATGTATTAGAAGGAGAGCAGCCACTGCATGTGTGTGTTTGTTTGTATGTGTGTGTGTGTGTGTGTGTGTGTGGGTGTGTGTGTGTGTGTGTGTGTGTGTGTGTGTGTGTGTGTGTATTACATATCATTAATCTCCCATCAGTTGAACCAAGATACATTTTTTTGACATGTATTAATTCATTTTCATTATTTCTTATGAGAATTCAAGGGCCAGTTGTTATTGTGTGTAGATCAAATAAATCCGCTTGGACTGGCACAATGCAAGAAATGTGCATTGTGCATGCAAATCATTTAGTTTATTTGTATTTGTATCATACATGTTTGCATGCATTTGTCAATATGAGAGCACTAATTCATATTATTACCATTATCATTATTATGTTATGTTATTATTGTTCAGTTTTAGTATTATTTTATTGTAGGCTATTCTCTATTTTTTTCGTAGTTGCAGTTGGTTATTTATCTGAGCTACTCTACAACATGCTGCCCAGGCCTGCAGAAATGCTGGCTCCGGCAGTGACTTCTGGTGCTCCTCTTCTCAGCATGGTTCATAAAACTGCAGCGACGTATTTTGCTCTTAATGACAAAAATAAATGTTCACTAAACTGTTTACACGTCAATGGCCACATGGGGGCCTCCGTGTCCTCCCTACCGCCTCCAACATCTCTCTCTCCTCATTTCAAGCCTTTGCCAAATTCCCTCCCTCCTCCTCTGCCTGGCAGTAGTCCCTCTCAGGCCGAGTAGGGGAGCATTCACACCCCGCTGTCGGTGTTTAGCGGATGGGGCTCTCAGCCTGACCCGGAGGGAGGAGGAGGAGGAGAAAGATGACCGGTATCCCGTGTCCCCGCAGGCTGGCCCGGCGCTCCAAGTCCGCCCTGCTGATCGCCGCCTTGGCCGTGCTGCTGGTCCAGACACTCATCGTGTGGAACTTCAGCAGCCTGGACTCCGCAGGCGGCGGGGACGGAGGCGCCAGGAGCCGGGAGAAGAGAGAGGAGCGAGCCGGGGGGCTCAACAAAGCAGACAAGGAGCACCCGCGGAGGGGGCTGCAAAAGAAGGGCGAACTGCCGCCGCTCGGGAAGGCGGCCGTACAGCACAAGCTGCAGGCGGTAAGGTTTAAAATAATACCTGCTTCAGTTAAAACGAGTTTTGTGAATCAAATTAGATATTTTTACACCTGTGTTTCCTCGACCGAATGGAACATTTGCGTATGTCCCGGGGGAAGCAGCATGGTAGCTACGTAGAAGATGCTACGGAGTGGCTGCAGCTGTTGTTTTGGCATTTGCATCAACACATTTTGGCCGCTTTCGTCCCTTGTATGGGGACATGAGTCGGTAGGCCAGCCTTGATATACAAATCTGCCCATTTAAGGAATTGATTAATGACCACATTTACCAGGTTAAACGGACTCGCTTGCCTTTTCCTGGAGATTGTAGTAGTCACTGTTCAGTTGTCTGTAATGAGCAAGCAGCCTTCCATACATTTAAAACGTAAAGCCAGAATATTTGTTTTAACCACTTACCTTTATCAGTTTAATTCGCAGTGTTAGCCACTGTAAAGTCAGCATTGACGGAAGGAAATATCGATGTTTTCTGTCTGAAAGGGCATGTAGCCTACATGGATAATGTTCATGACGAATGTAAGAAAATCACCGATATTGTCCTACAATATCTTATTTTGTGTTCTCCATTATATGTGCGTCATCGAAAATGAAAAACAAATATAATTGTCTGTTTTGTTAACGCACTTTGGTTGGCAATTCTCCACTCAACATACATCAAAGCGTCTCGTCTGTAGTAGCCTAGGCCATACGTCATTTTCATTACTTTTAATATAAAAGATCAACATAGTTTGTATGTATCCCATATGCATAAAACCTTTACAGACATGTCAGTTTTTCAAATTAAGCTAACTGAAGCACAGAATGAGCAACTGTGGGATACAACTGTTAATTGTGAGTCTCTTCCTAGATCTGTGATTTAAGGGTTTAATTAAACCCTTCTGTTGGTGATATTAAGGGACCATACAGACTCCTTTGGAAACTGGGAAATGATTAAGCCATTTTTATTAATGGTAATTGCCCCTCTCTGATATTAACTTGTGAAACGACATGGGTGATTTGTTGCATGCCAAGTCAAAGTTAAGTCACGTACTCTTTGTTCTGCTCAGTTTGCATCATTTAATCACCTTTCAAGCTTCCTCCTTGTGTGCATATAGGCTTACTACTGTATGTGTTTAATGCTTACATACTGTCAGTACACGTATAGAATCTGAGGGGAGATTCCACATTGTTTTTATGTTAAGAAAATGTTGTTACTGTATGCGTGTGTGTTGCTTTACCTGGTGGAATCCAGGTGTTCTCATGTTGTCAAGACATGATTGTACTGTGTGTCTGTATGTGAGAAGGAAGGAGAGGGAGAGACGTGGGTTCTATTGCAGGCATCCATTTTTACGTCCTTTCATTACAGTTAACCGGATGCCCTGTGATCTTCCCTGTGTGTGTGTGTGTGTGTGTGTGTGTGTGTGTGTGTGTGTGTGTGTGTGTGTGTGTGTGTGTGTGTGTGTGTGTGTGTGTGTGTGTGTGTGTGTGTGTGTGTGTGTGTGTGTGTGTGTGTGTGTGTGTGTGTGTGTGTGTGTGTGTGTGTGTGTGTGTGTGTGTGTGTGTGTGTGTGTGTGTGTGTGTGTGTGTGTGTGTGTGTGTGTGTGTGTGTGTGTGTGTGTGTGTGTGTGTGTGTGTGTGTGGAAGAGCAGTGATATGTCCTGACAGTTATTGGCTTTTAAAACAGTAGAGATACATGCCAGCACATTTTTATAGAGCAGAAGTTTAGGAGGTGAAAAGAAAGAGGGAAAGGAAACAAAAGCGGCAAGGAAGAAGGTCGACGTGACCACTATATGAGTAATTGAAAATATGTGGAGATTCAATTGAAAGGCTCTATTGTCCTATGCACAACAGTTACAGTGTAGTGGTTTGCAATGCAAATCTTAAATCCAAGGCTCCTCCAACAATGCAACATACAATATACTGACAGTTTGAAATATTGAACAAAATACAATTTATTACATTTTCTTCTTACTGGAAGTGTAGCTAAGATTGCCCATAAAAACATCAGAAAAAGGTCAAAATGTCCGTTACAGCCTAAAAAAAAAATCTTCAAAGATGCCTTTCTATGTTCATATATTCAACAAATGATCCTAAACACCAGCAGCAAAGACATTTCAATGAAGAAGTTGGAACCTTTAATTGTTTGGCAATTGCATCCTCTTTCACAGAGGGTGCAGCGTTTATGGCTTTTCATGTTGTATAGTGTTGCACAGATTAATTCATTTAGGGCTGCTAATAATAAGCATAAATATCTTTCAATTATTTTGTGTGTTAAATGTGAGAAAACAGAGAACATCCTCAGTTTAATAGACTTCTACAGTTCAGTCATTCACAGAAGGAAAAACTCGCTGTAAGTTAGTGCAGATATATTGATAATTTCCATACAGAATCTATCCATTTTAAAGATATTGTCCTAAAATATCATGATGTGTATATTATATGTTATTTAACCAAGAACATATATAATTGTGTGTTATGTTAACAGAGTTTGGTTTTACATTTCTCCACTCAACAAACAGCATAGTTCCTTGACAGAATATAGTCTACAAAGAGTGTATGCAAAAAAATATAATTTAGTGTGCAAATAATAGATTATGAATGTGTTGTTAAGCTTTTGATTTAACTCTCCTTAGTGGGGCTACAACTGTAAACGTTCTCCCGAGTTTGGCGCAAAAATAAATGTTATTCCTTATTAACAAATTCAATTTCCCAGTTGATTTTAAAATATTTGTGCTGCTGCCTTTTAAAGTTCATCTGCCTGTTGATTCCCGGGGCTGTGAAATATCAATCATTTGATCAATTGATTGGTGGACAGTAAAGATTTCTGTGTTTGTTAAAGTTATTTAGCAAACAAGATGCTTTATTAATCCCCAAATGAAATAAACGGATCAATGGATATTTAGACATTATTCATTAATTGGAGCCCTAATAGAAGCATGTTTTTTGTTTCTGTTGCAGCTTTGTGATTCTGTAGTGAAAATCAGTGAAGACTGAACACGTGTGAAGCTGATCAATTGTGTGGGAGTGTGTTTATTGACAGGAAGGAGCATCGTATTTCCAATAAAAGTGTGTGTGTGTGAGTGTGACTTTCACTGCAGCACCTTCCACAGAAGCATTCAAATACCTGCAGTGTTTCCATCAACCAGCCTGGTGTGTGTGTGTGTGTGTGTGTGTGTGTGTGTGTGTGTGTGTGTGTGTGTGTGTGTGTGTGTGTGTGTGTGTGTGTGTGTGTGTGTGTGTGTGTGTGTGTGTGTGTGTGTCATTTGTGTGTAGCACTGTGTGTGTTTGTACGTGATGCACTGTGTTTGGCACTGTCAGGGTGATGCTGTGTCTACGTTTTTGGGTCATGCACTGTTTAGCAGCGTGCATGTGACCCATCATGTGTACTGACTCAGTGTGTTTACAGCCGTTGTGGATGGCGCCACAGTTGTTGCACAACTCTCACATTCATCACACCTTTGCGGGGATGGACACACAAACACATATCCACAAACACACAAACAGACAGACACACACAGTTCTGGTTGGATCAGATTAGAGGATTGGTTTGGATCAGGTTCCCCCGATGGAATTAATACTTTCTAATCTAGTTAAGATTGTTCGATAATCCCTAGTGTGTGTGTGTGTTGTGCTTCTGTATCTATGAGATCAGCTTTAAAACCTTTACAGTGAGAATATGTTTGGATAGATGGGATATTTGGTGAGGGTTGGGATTAGAAGTGTAGCTGTGATGTTTACAAAGGTTTTTAGAGCTCAAAGCACCGGAAATGTCAACAACAATCTACCTTAAAATAAGTATTGTCCCTATGTGAACATTATAGAATATGTGAGTTGCTGAAGTACAAATACATTTTGAAAGCATCAACCACCAACCACATGATCTTCCAAGATCTAATAGTTTCAGTTGGCCCCAGTAGACCTGACATCAACTGAACCCAGATAGTCACCACCGATTAGGGCTGTCCCGAATACCATTTTTCGGGTTTCATAATACGCTCCGAATCCGAGACACCTGACAAAACGCTGTGAAAGAGCATACTACTACGATTTATATTTATAAGATTTATATTTATTTGTTGTCTCAGTACTTGCATACATTAAAACTAAATGTGTCCTCTGCATTTAACCCAACCCTATACCATCCTAACCCACCCGGGCATTTGGCAGCTGCAGTGCAGCGCCCGGAGCACGATTGAGCGCTATAACAATAACGGCAGCATACACTTCAATAAACTAACAATTTCTTTCCAATCTTTCCAATCTTTCAAATAAATCACAATCAGGTTGCAAGCTTCATTTGACTAAGCCGTAAGCCTACCTCTCTTCATGTTGTGTGCGAGGAAGATGAGTTAGTCCACATTCTCAGGTAAAAGTGAACTTCTGGTCTGGTTCACGATGTAGCCAGCCTTTGAGAAAATGCGCACTGACAGGGTTGAAGTGGCCGGAACGCAAAGGCAGTGCTTGGCCGCAAATGCCAGTTTGGGATACCGGTCACTGTTGTGCTTCCACCATGCAAGTGGGCCAGACTGGATTTTAGTCGTGTCTCTCAAATATTGCTCCATCTCTTTCTTTGCGCTGTCTCCATCGTGTTCTTGTTCCTCTTCATCGTCGGACTCAGACTCCATCAGCATATCCTGCTGTTTCTTTTTTTTGGGGATGGCACGGCAGTCTCCTTTTCTCTATCGCTTGCTGCCGGCTCTCCTACCACCTCCCGAACGGTCTGTCGCTGGTGTAGATGTTCAGCCAGGCGGACAACCTTAAAATCAAATAGCATTTTATTAGTCACATGCATAAGATAAAGTAGTGTGGCATAATAATAATAGTAAATCTAATTTAAATTAAAAATATTAGTCTAACCTCAATGTAGACGAGGTCCTTCTTCTCGTTCGTGAGGAATTTTAACTGCTTAAATCGCTGGTCCAGTGCTGAAGAAAGGAGGTAGATGCTGCTGGGCTCCAAAAGTGACAGTTTCCATCTGCTGTCGATCTCCGTGATGAGGGTCTTCTT